TTAGTAATACTAACTTATCTGATGTGATGTATTGTAAAATACAATCCCCATTATCCCCCTTACCCTATTCCCTTATTAACCAATCAGAACTGCCATAAAGATTCACTGCGGGTCAGTTGTCTCTCCGTTCGTAATGGCGCCCGGCAAATTCAAACGTCAATCGTGTTCAATTTATTTCTTTAGACGAGTACAACAACGCCACATCGTAACAATTTTTGTGATGCTTCTTCCCTGGATGCCCTAAACACGTTTCTTATTTTGCTTACTGGTTAATCTAACCCAACTCCCACGAGACAATAGTGTTGTTTCCTGAATTTGGGGACAAACTAATTGTATGGTAGATCCTTGAGTCGAGTATTATAAATGGGGCAAGAAATACCTGAGCCGTACTAAGGATAAGGACTAGACGAGATATCACGAGACATGGTCAAAGGAACGAGACCAATCTAGCCCCGTAGATTAAATGAAGTATTCAGTTCGAACACGTTTCTTGCAGGTGACCCGGCTCGACAAGCACCTGATAGAAAGGACTGGAAATAGTCGAGAGCCATGGTAACCCGCGTCTTGAAAAGTGACGGCACATAGAATAAGATTATGATAATGGATAATATTATTAAATATGTTTTTTTTAGTACTAGCAGAGAAATCTCTCTCAAGAAAAACAACTACAATACTTAACTGGTCAACTTCATTTTTTTAATTAAAACGGGCAAGAAGAGAAAGCAACAATTACGATAGTTAGCAATAGAAAAAGAGGAGACAGAAAGAAAAAATGTGTTAAAACAAATTCTGCAGAAAGATCTAATCGGTTATCACTTGTCACTCATTAGAACTTCATCGAGAAAAATAAAAACTCTTTGTATAATCGATTAAAACAAAATGTGTTTCCTACTTTTAATATCTGTCTATATCTCTGAGATGAGGTATTATGATTACTTGCATTATTTACATTATTCAGACTATTATCCTCATCTTCATTGCCATATTCACAACGTTTCAGCCACTTTCAGGTGATTGGAATTTTGAACCAAACCTTTTATTTCATCCACTGGGGTAGATTTTTCTAGTTCCCCGTGCCATGCCTCTTCTCTCCAAGTTTTGGTTCACAACTATTGTGGCCTGGTATTGAACTCCCAACTCTTTGTACCTCGTCACTGGATCTAACCAACATATCTATCCACTGGGCCATGTGTCATTAAGGACATCTGTGTAAGAATTTTTCGGACTTAGAAAAAAAATCTCACAGCACCATTTTTTTCATTAGTGCTAATATTGCAATTTTTTCTGTTATTATTATCGCATTTTTCTACAAGAGCTTATATTTCAATTTTTGTTGTTATTCATTGCTTTTCTCTAGCACTCCTTATAACTGGTTCCCATATTGTATTCATTTCTATGCTTGGTCAGCTCAGGAGATTTTGTGGCCTAGCATATGTGATAATTCCTTAAGTTTCCGTATTTTTCAATTGGTGTGCACAAAATATTACTTTTCCCTATCGAGTTCTGATGAAGGAGGAGTAATAACCGGTTAGCCTATTTCTAAAGAATTTTTTTTCTTGCCAAATACTTGTTTTCCTTTTTTGTCCCTTTAAATTATGTGTGTTTTTATTGCCTTAATATCCTATTATAATTGTGCTTGTCACCCCCTTTGTTATTTTGCACGACCCTAAAGCCCTGCCAATACCTCATAAATAATGGACTATTCCGTTTTTATCATATGGAAAGTGGAGGAAAGTCACTACTTGGTTTCAGTTAAAAAAACGAAAAAAAAAAAAGAAGATAAAAGTATTAACAGATATTTCATTGAAATAGAAAAAATAGTCAATTTCAAACTTTTTCATTTGCATCCCCTTACTTCTTAAAATAACGGCCGGCTTTCATATTTATGATTGTTATTGCAATATTTGGTTAAAGTTGTCATCATCAAATATTTAACAATGTGATAGAGGAATTTCTACAGATATTTTATTGTCATAGAAATCGCTTTGAGCTTATTCAATTATTAATTGAACAATTAAGAATCATCAGAAAATTCAAATGGGAAAACTGTGAAATTTGCTTACACCTCTAAATAGAAGTATTTTGTTGGAAAATTTTACATAAATTGCAGTCTAAAAACTTAACACCGTTATTGGTAGACAAGGTCGCCTATGTGGCACCAAGTAACGATCGAAATCAATCCGTCCTGGTAAGACGATAAACTACATCCGCATCCTGGGTAAGACGATAAACTACATCCGCGTGATGGGTATGGCGATAAATTACATCCGCGTCCTGGTAAGACAATAAACTACATCCGCATCCTGGGTAAGACGATAAACTATATGCAAAAGCAAGTCCTCTGATCAGGAGCTTTTGAGGAGCGTAGAATTGCCTCTTAATTGCCCGGGGTGGTAGCACCTGTTAGGATCCCAACTCTGGCCAAATACTTAACCACCAAACTGGGATCAAAACTTGTAAACATAGGTTTTAATACCAGAATACATTTTTGTAAAAATTATTACCAGCAATGACTTTTTCAAGAAAAAAAATATTACAGCAATATTTGTTAGGAAAAAATATTACCAACAATACATTTCTGAAAAAAAAAATTACCAGCAATACATTTCTGAATAAAATATTACCAGAAATACTTTTTTGAAAAAAATATTACCATCGATAAAAATCTTGTCGGCATTAAATAACTCATTGAGGTTGATCTCCTGTAAACCAAACAAACCAATCAAAATCACTTCAATGGTATTTATCTGTGTGATTGACTAGCAAGAAATGATTCCTTGGCGAATCATCCTGATATTGTTATTATTAGTAATATTCTTCAAAGATTTCAGCTGATGACATCTGAATTTAGTTCTGCAGACATTTGGTAACAATTTTTCTTCTCCGCTTTTATTAATGTTTCGTGTTTGCCTTCCCCATCAGCGAGGCTTCCTCCCATAGAGTTCACTTCAAGTGGTCGGCGTCAATTAATTTGAAATGAAATTGCGCGCATTCTCATTGCTTCTATTTTTCTGTCAAATGATAACGACTTCGAAGCGAGACAGAAATTGGCGGGCAGGAGAAAGCGTTCCTCTCTGCTTGAAATTGATGAGATCTCGTCTGCAGTATGACGTACGAATCGTTTTTCGTTCGCGGCCATAATTGATTGGTTGGTGATGTGGATGAAGCTTTTTTCTTTTCGCTTGTTCTTCTACACTATAAACTGAAGTTCTTCTGCCTTATTTGACGTTAATTCTGTTTCAGTAAACACAACAAGACGGACATGAAACATAAATTATATTTACTTAAACTTGCTCGGACGCCGCTGTCAAAAATGAAAAGTCCCGTTCAACTTTTACACTACATTAATAAAATATTTTTTCTTTTCTTCCTTCCACCGAGTTTGTTTTATATGTCACCTTGTGTCTTGAGATAATTGTTGGTCATTTGCTTTACTTACCATACAGTAATAATATGTCCATTGTAAATATAAACAGGTTATTCATAGCGAATATATATATATATATATAAAGACATTTTTATGTTTATATATTCTTTTTATACATACAAATATTTAAGTAAATGCTCTGTTTTTTATAATAGACAGTATTAATAACATTTACCGGCCTGAATGTCCGAGAAATTGTCATAGAATCGAACCTGTATCCTATATATATATATATATATATATATATATATATATATATATATATATATATATATAGGATTCAGGCCGGTAAATGTTGTTAATACTGTTTATTATAAACAGACCATTTAATTAAATATTTGTATCTATAAAAAGAATATATAAACATAAAAATGTCTTTATATATATATATATATTCGCTATGAATAACCTGTTTATATTTACAAAAAGAATGTATAGACATACAATAATGTCTTAAAATAATTGTCGGACTTTGTCCATTTCATAATATATATATATATGAAAGAATTACTTAACTTTTAAATGTCGATTTTATCCCGACTTCGAAGTTTCTTTGTAAAATTTCTAATTTTCAGAGGTCGTCGTTTTTAAACGGTATTTCCCATTTTATTTTATTTTATTTTTTTTAATTTATTCCTCGTCTTTTTCAATGTGCTTTTTTTATTCTGCTTTGTACGCATGCGTATTCATGGATTTAACTTTCTTTTACACGCGCACACATTCATAAGGTTTTGTGTTTGTTTTTCATTATTTAGCTGTAGATTTTTCTTCTACTTTTAAATTTTTTCTTTGAAATAAAATTTTTCTTCAAAATTAAATTAATTTTTTTCATGGTTTATATAGAACTTGTTATGTTATATTATTAATTAAATTTTAATATTTGTTAATTTTTAATATTAATTAAATTATAATATTTTAGTTAATATTGTTAATTAATATTTTAATTGATTTATTATGTCATAAAGTAACAAAGTAAATATTTGTTAATATGTAGACATCGACCCATTATTTCATTCTTGTTATTTAATAATTTAATTTGATTATTAAAAGTTAGTATTCATAATTTTTCTTTTAAACGCAATCTACAGTTCCTATCGGTAATATATATGGGGTACTTTTTCTAATTTCCCGTTTAACTATAGTAGGTATATTGTTTTGTATTTGACTTCATATATATTTTGATAATGTGCTGTTTACGTATTTATCTATTTTAAATGACATTATATGATTATTAAATCTTTCTTTAAAAATGGTTTCGGTTGGTCCTATGTAAATCTTTTCTTCTGTGATGCTATTATTTGATACAATTGCTTTATATATTACACTGTTAGTTAAACATTTATTATTAAGTGGACACTTCGTTTTATTTCGACAGTTACAACTATTATTATTGCTATTTTGCGGATATGTATTATTATAATTACTATTATTTTTATTTCATATTTTTTATGTTCATTTTTTATTTTCTCCATATTATTCATACAAATATAACTGATTTTGATTGTATTTTTTGTCAGTGATTTTTGATAGTTTACTATTTTTAAGGAATTGTTTTTCAATTAATTTAAAGAATTTATAGATAGATAGATAGATAGATAGATAGATAGATAGATAGATAGATAGATAGATAGATAGATAGATATGGATAGACTGGGATAGATAGATAGATAAATAGATAGATAGATAGATAGATAGATAGATAGATAGATAGATAGATAGATAGATATGGATAGACTGGGATAGATAGATAGATATGGATAGACTGGGATAGATAGATAAATAAATAGATAGATAGATAGATAGATATGGATAGACTGGGATAGATAGATAAATAAATAGATAGATAGATAGATAGATAGATAGATAGATAGATAGATAGATATGGATAGACTGGGATAGATAGATAGATTGCGTTGTTAGACAGCAAACGTAAGTTTCAACGTGATTTATACAAAAAGAGAAATTGTAAAAGTTTTGTGGACTGAAATTAAGAAGTAATTGTCCAAAGTCAACTAATGTCAAGAATTTTGACAAAATTTTACTTATATTTGAAATGTGATCCATTATTTTTTTGTTTTTTTTTCATCTTTGAGTGGATGTGATTTTGCGTGAATGTGGCGTTATCTTTTAATGAAGAAGATCCAACTTAATATTTCATCATGAGGAATGTAAAAAATAAACTTATTAATATGTTCGCTTGCAGACAGCAATGTTTGTGGAAATAACAATTCCGTATCTTGGATAAAAATAGCGAAACGTCTTTTCTCAAATTTATTGACAGCGAAATCTGGAGAAATGACAGACAAAGAGACAGTCCTGGCGTTGGGCTTTTCAAAATCTTCTTCAATTTCGACGTCCTCCAGAATTAATCGAATTAAAGAATACCAAATTATTTTTACTTTCTACAAAATCGTTATCATTTCAGATATTTTCGGTCTCTTAATATCATTGATTTTCTAGTTTTATCACAACATTTTTAGCCGATGTGCTCTTTTGGCCTTGTCGTATTGTCTGGAGTTCTGTAATGAAGCCATTTCCCAATATGTGCTTTTGAAAATATTATATTTTCTTTTGCAGTCAATACGGACAGTACTTATTCCATTTTGATCTCAAAGACTTGGTTTCATTTTATATTCCTTGATTGAGTCACAGATTTGGTGAGATTTAAGTTCTATAATCTGACCTTTGCAGAAAAGCAGATTGGATTAATCAGTTTATATAAACAAGTTTGGATTAACCTGCTTGTATTAACTAGTTTAAATTAGCTAGTTACTCAAATTATAAAATAAAACACGCAGTTTTCATGGCCAGACAATCTAATAACAATTTTAAAAATCACTCTAATACATGTGTTATACATTTACGATATTTTTATGTGATTTCATTGATTCGTTTTTTACGGTTTATCAACCCTTTTCAGGTTATTTAAATTCAGAAAATATTTTTTAGATTTAAGAATTTTTTGGAGATAATAATGATTTAGTGATACAAATCTTACTAATTAACCCATAGCTGGGGGAGAATAGGCGGATTCACACATTTCCCAATGATTTTTTCGCCCATTTGAAAATAACGACTACAACTGAATTTGGAACTTGGCGTTTCAACTAATAATTCCAAGCCATTACACCACCCGCACATCCAACCTTATAGCACCTAATATTCCCAAGCAGTCATCCATTCAGATACTGATCAGGCTTCAATGATCGTACGAGTACCTGTGTTTCAACATAATATGGCCGTAATCTCTTTATACAACCAGTACATCCAAGCTTAGAGCGCCAGGTAATGTCAAGCGGTCACCCATCTAGATACTGACCAGACTCGACGTGACTTAACTCCGGTGATCGTAAGGGAGCCGGTGTTTCAACGTGATACAACTATAAGTTCTTTATACCACTCGCACATCCAAGCTTACTTTATCTGGTATTCTCAAATGGTCACCCATCTAGGTACTGACGAGACCCGACGTTGCTTAATATTGGTGAATGTACAGGGAGACCGTTGTTTCAACGTGATATGGTTGCAAGTCCTTTATACCACCAGCACATCCAAACATACAGCACCCTTGTATTCCCAAGCGGTCACCCATCTAGATACTGACCAAGCTCGACGTTGCTTAACTTCGGTGATCGTACAGGAAGCGGTGTTTCAAAGTGATATGGCCGTAAGCGCACCATATCCTTTAGGTATTACAGAAATACCAATAAATAATAGATGACAATAAAATTTTTTTGTAAAAATTGAATCAGATTAAAAATAAATGCTGGAGAACGGAACTGGCCGCTATACCAGCTGTATCAGCAAAATTGTTCAAATCGTGTATCAGCAAAAATCTCCAAGTCGTGTATCAGCAAAATTGTTCAAATCGTGTAACAGCAAAATTGTCCAAGTCATGTATCAGCAAAATTGTTCAAATCATGTAACAGCAAAATTGTCCAAGTCATGTATCAGCTAAATTGTCCAAATCGTGTATCAGCAAAATTGTCAGTCACACAAAATGTTTAATATCTAAAAAAAAAACACTAAACTAATTGAGTTTCTTTTTTTCAGGTTTTCAGATAAGAAGTTTAGACATCTTGACACCATTTGTTGTAAGAATCACTTAAAAACTCTTTAAGTTATTCAGCTAGAAAAAGAACAGATTAAAATCGTTTTGTGTTAGCCCCACTGTCTTCCCAACTGAGCTACAGTGAGAGGAAAAAGATCATTCGGGCCTTCAGTAATTATACCAACATTCATACTCTGGCTTTCATCTTATTTCATCTCCATCAAGAGAACGGTGAATAAGCTTAAAAATGATGGAAACTGGTGAGGAAATCACAACAGGAGGAGGAATAATCATTTCAACTTAGAGCTAAAGAGATCAATTAGAAAAGATCCAACTCAATCCATTAGAAGTTTGGCACGTGAGAGAGGAGTTTCAGCTATGACAGTCCAAAGAGCAGTGAAGAAAGACTTGAAAATGAAATCGAACGTGAAACCTGTAAGACACCTTGTTACTCCAGGACAGTGAGTTAACAAGTTGGAAAATGATCCTGGAATAATATATACATATAAGACATTTTTATGTTTATACGTTCTTTTTATAGATACAAATATGCTCTGTTTATAATAAACAGTATTAAATAATATTTACCGGTCTGAATGTCCGAGAAATTTTCATAGAAAATATGCGTCCTCCGAGAGGAATCGAAGCTGTATCCTATACGGAACCGTCACTTAGCCTGACGTACCTTTACCGATTAAGCCACAGAGGAGCGATCGGTTAGCAAAGTCGATTTTACTGTTTTTAAACACAATTCTCCATGATTTTCTCTCATTCATTCATATCTGCTCAATGCGTATCCAAATGTAAACAAATGACGTCATGCATTATGAAATGGACAAAGTCCGACAATTATTTCAGACATTTTTTTTTATAAAGATAAAAAAATGTCTTAAATAATTGTCGGACTTCTCCATTTCATAATATATATATATATATATATATATATATATATATATATATTTTCTTCATACTGTCGGATCTATATCCATATATTTTCTTATATATATATATATATATATATATATATATATATATATATATGAACGTAATCTCAATCCCCTCTGAGCTTCAGATTCTTACATATGATTAATTAATGATGAACATGCCATTTTCGTTTATGATCGATTCATCACGATTCTTCTGTTAAGGTTAGAGACTAATTATACATTGTTATTGCTCAAAGTAGAATCCAATATTGTTGCAAAAACCTCAGGGAATTCCAGTATGATATATTTAATCAATTCTAAGATAAAACGTTTCAGAGCTTCATCTTACAATTAGACAATTTTACTTTGATATGATTTAGACATTTTTTCTGTTACACCCGGTATATAGTTTTTATCTTTCTGTATATGTATATGTTGGTGTGTATTTGTGATGACGTGTGATAGATAGTGTACATAAATGTTTGTTTAACGAACAAACTCTGCGTCTAGGCTCTTACCCTGTAAACCTCTATCTCGAGTGGCTCCTGGGCCTTGTACTGGCTGAACATTATTGTCCGAAAAGAAACAATATCTTGATTAATGAAGTAGTCACCTAAAGCAAGAATACATGGTGATTTTCTATGCGTAACTCAGATGTGGCACAAGGCAGAAAGTATGGAGCACCCAGTGAAGATTGAACTCACTATTCAGTCGTAATTGTTCTAGCGAGGCACATTTGTTCACCATTATGTCACATCGAAGAGGCCGTTGACTGATTTAATATGGCTCACTTACAAATGTCACGCCATTTCAAGCAAACTGATTTGTTGAAAAAAAATGTCGGAACAAAGTCGACTTGATAATCGAGATTTATAATTAGTTTTTAAATGACAGCGATTTTTTTTTTTTTTTCATAAAAAAGTTATTTTCTATCTCAAATTTTATTAGTGAGTACATTTTTCTCGCTTAATTTTATAATAAATTTACGAACATCTTCCACGGGATTCGTCACCTATATATAGGCAAAGCAATTATCGATCAAGCGCGTACTGACTTCCGCTTTCTTAACGACGCCATCGCTATAAATGACATCGACGTTAAATTGAACGTCATTGGTAATAGTTGAATACGTTGTGTCAAATGATTAACCACCTTATTGCATTGAATGGTTAGCCTTAAGAAAAATGACTATATAGACGGTTTATAGATGTGTACATATAAAGAAACAAAAGTATAAGGACTCTTACAGAAGTAAGATGGGATGCATGGTTTTTAACAAAATGAACAGCCCGATATGCAAATTAAAAAGGGTGTTTCATTAAGAAGGATCAAAGTCATCAGTAAATAAATCAGTGTTATTGGTAAAAAAAATTTTTATTTCTCTATTGGATCATGTTATTTAATTCATGGCAATTATGTGTGAAAAATAATATCGCCTAAATGCCCGCCAAGGCTTCGACGGCACACCTCCACTCGATGGTCAAAATGTTTGATGACGATTCTGCATAGTTGCTCCTTGATCTCACCAATATGCCTTATTATCTCATCCTTCAGCTGTTGAATTGTTGTTGGCTTGTTGGCATAGACCTTACTTTTGAGATGACCCCAAAGGAAGAAATCTAAAGGCATCAATTCGCACGATCGTAATGGCCAATTGACTTTACTGTTTCGAGAGATGGCGCAACCTGGGAACTTCTCGTTCAATAAAGCCATTATTGAAAAGGCTGTGTGGCATATGGCGCCGTCCTCTTGGAACCACAAATCTTAAACATCGATAGCATTCATTTCAGGCCATAAAAAGTTATCATGGCATGGTATCGCTCACCGTAATGGAATTCCCAATGATTTCGCTAGCAAAAAATGAACACCAAACATTGACCTTTTATGGATGCAGTGGCTTTTCAACAATCTTCCTTGGATTTTCATCAGATCAATTCCTACAATTCTGTTTATTAACGAATCCATCAAGATGAAAATGGGCTTCATCATTAAAGAGGATTTTTTTGCGAAAAATCTTCATCGTCTTGTCTTTGCTCATGCACCCAATTGACGAATGTACGGCTCTCCAAATGGTCAACAGGTTTCAGTTCTTGTGTCAATTGGATTTTGTAAGCGTTTAGAGACAAATCTTTTGTCAAAATTTGATGTAACGTTGTTGTAGAGAGGTTCAATTCCTGCGCGCGATGACGAATAGAGGGGTCTGGATTTTCGGCCACATTCTCGTGCACTGCAGCAATGTTTTCGGCTGAACGGCGTAAACGAGCAACCAATGGTGTTTTCACATCTGCCGCCGACCCAGTTTGTTTGAATTTACGAACAATTTGTCCAATTGCACTCTTGAAAATTTAACACATTGTTTGATAGTTAATCTTTCCATGGTTGAAATTACCAAAGACTTAAGTTGTTAAACCTGAAAGAAAAATAAAAAAAATATTAGACGCTTCAAATTAATTCACATTTAAAATCGGTCCAAACAAGTACAACAATTTAGATATCTAAAACGTGTTTTAACAGAAAACGGAAAGTGCGATACTGAAATCCGAAAGTACATTGGAATAGAGAAAGATGCCTTCCAAAAGCTAAGCAATTTTAAAAAACAGAAAAACATGGTCAGAAACAAAAGAAAGAGTGTTGAACTGTTATGTAATAACAATTTTCCTACATGGCAGTGAATGCTGAACATCTTCTCTCATATGAAGAAAAGACTTGAAACAACAGAAATGTGGTTCTACAGAAGGATGCTGAGAATGCCATGGACCGAATATGTGAGTAACGACTGAGTTTTAGAGTAAATGAAAACAAAAAAATACTTATACTTAACATCAGGAAGAGACAGTTAAATTATCTTGAGCAAATAATGAGGAAAGAAAGCTTGGAACATGTGATACTCACAGGACAGAGTGTAGGTAAGTGGGATAGAAAAAAATCAATGCGTAACAATCCTAGAGAGCTTGAGTAAATGGATGGCGTTAAAAGGTTTAGGAGAGAAAACAAAAATCTAAAATTTATTAAACGCTACAAATTGTGGAGAGCCATGATAGCGTGAAAGTCGTGAAGGGACATAGCAACAAGAAGAAGAAGAAGAAGAAGAAGAAAAAGAAGAAGAAGAAAAAGAAGAAAAACAAGAAGAAAAACAAGAAGAAGAAAAACAAGAAGAAAAACAAGAAGAAAAGAAGAAAAAGACGAAAAGAAGTAGAAGAAAAGAAGAAAAAGAAGAAGAAAAAGAAGTACAACAAGAAGAAGAAGAAAAAGAAGAAAAGAAGAAGAAAAAGACGAAAAGAAGAAGAAGAAAAGAAGAAAAAGAAGTAGAAGAGCGAGAGATAATTAGCAAATCTCACAAGCCATTGATAGTACGTTGATATCAAGCATTAATATTTTCTCTATTATTACGTCCTTGTACCAGATTAAATAGCTTTTCCTCACAGTCTAGAAATAAATTAAGAACGCAATTTACTTACGAGGAGTAATGGATTGAGGAATCGGAGAGCCGAGTTCGAATTCCCGTCGAACCTATTTACTTACGTGCTAATATCATCGGGAAAGGTATGAGTTCTCTTCTTCTCCCCTCCCCTCAGCTATGGATAAATAGCAGGACATACCTAGTTCTATAGCCTTGGATAGCAACTGGTCTACCACAGAAAGAAATGGCAACCTACTGCAGGAAAAAATCTACCTCGTCAGTTATGTGTCGCCTAAGCGTGTATCACGCATGGCACATAACTGACATAAATTCCTCAGGCGAGCGATTTTTCACATTAAAAGCCATTCAGTTTTGTCCAACGCCTCGGAGCATACAGTGGGAAACTGCGCAAAGCATTATGGGAAGCTTTACATGCACAAGAAAAAGCGTTCATCTTGGAATTGATTTATGGAAATCTTTCTGACCGCAAAACAAAACCTCCTCACGAAGTTTTCTATTTGAAAGCTTCTCTCATTTTCTCTTTCATCTTTATTGCTTTTGATTTTCGTCTAATGAAGGAAGGTCATCGAGTTCTGGTGCATGTCATCACAGTGTTAATAGCAGGCCGTCAAATGTCTCCAAGAGTAAAAGACTTGGAGAACTGCCAATGTGTCGAAATACGAGGTCTGTCTGAAAAGTAATGGGGCAGGTGTCACAATTTATCTCATTTCCAAACAACAAACTAAATAAGTACCTCTTTAAAGTAATCCCCCCACCACGAATCTAACGTATTTTTCTATCTTTTTCTGTCTCAGGAAGAATCCTTCCAGCCGTGGAATGCCTCTCAGCTCTATTGAAACGGGTCTCCTTGATGATCCCCTTCAGCTTGGGGAAAAGAAAAACAGTCACAGAGAGCAAGATCAGAGGAGGTTGTTTCAGTACGGCGATGTTCTTCTCGACCAGGAACTGCCGGATGCTCAGGGCATCTTGAGCAGGTACATTGTCATGGTGAAGCAGCCACGATTTGTCCTGCCACAACTGTGGTCGCTTCTCGCGCACTGATCGAAGCGAACGCTGCAGGATCTCTTTGTAGACTTGCTGACTAATCGCCTGACCCTGGGGCAAAAAACTCTCTGTAGTCAATACCCGTGTGTGTGTGATGTGTGATGCGGCATTCACCCTGGGCGGATTGAGCCGGCTTCTTCCTGTTGTGAGAAGAAGATTCTTGGGATAAATTACAGAAGTAGGGTACCCAGGCCTACTCGGATAACGTTCTTGCTTGCCGCGGGATTCCCACAGACGCAGAGACAGGAACGACCAGAAGCCGCCGGTTACCGATACAGACGCTCCTTGGATTTTCACCAGAGCCCTTGTTAGCCGGCATGTGTGTCAGACCTGTCCGCCTTGGGTGGCCCTACCAGGAACGAAGTTCCGGGCGGCATAGCTCTGACACTACCGTTTTACACCCCCCCACCAACTGTGAGGTAAGGGTTGGACTTTGGGGGCTTACAGTACAGTCAATACCCGTAACTCGCACTAAACAGCCAGTCACATTACTTTTCAGACAGACAACGTAGGTAGCGAATTGGTGGCTTCTAAGATTAAGAAAAATATGAAAAGATTAAGATCGGGTAGGCAGTTAGGCAGATTGGTTGATTTCATGACATGTCAACCCTTCCCAGGTTTATTGAATGTTGCAATTAGTCTTCTTCATGCTATTTTTGAGTCCATAAGCATTTATGGGGTTTAGGGATAAACACCGCTGTCAGTAAGCCTCTATCTTGAATGACTTTTGGGCCTTATATTGAAGGAACATTCTTAAAAAAAGAAATTTATCCTCCAATGACGAAAGATACCTTCCAAAAGCCGAGCAAATTATTAAGAACCAAAAAACTTCGTTAGAATCAAAGGCACTGAATTATTACGTGATATTTCTCCTCCTATATGCCAGTGAATGCTGAAGAACCTCATCACCGAGGAAGCAGAGCATTCAAGTAACAGTGATCTTGTTCTACAGAAGGATGCTGAGAATACCATGGACCGAACACATGAACATCGACGACGCTGTAGAGAGAGTGGCAAGTAAAAGGAGATTTATGCTTAACATCAGGAAGAGACTGTCGAAATTTCTAGGTTACATAATGAGGAAAGATGGTTTAGAAAATTTGATACTCACAGGACAGTTTGAAGATAAGCGATGCAGACGACGTATTTTTTCTTTCTCCAATATCATCGTTCCTCCTTGGGATTTATGCATCCTCTTGATGACCATTTCTTTTGTTCTGTTCTCTTATTTTTTTTAATGCATATATGCTTTATTTGTGATATTCATTTTTATTTCTGCACATTTTTCGTTGAGTCATACCCTTTAGCTCGCTTGCATTTGTTCCTTATTTCTTTGCGTACCAACTCAAATCATATCTTTTTTTTTCTTAAAATCTGTTTAGGAATTCTGACCAATCGGGATTTGTTTAATTTTTAAGCCAATCAGAGGAGCGGATTCCGTTTTGCCCTTAACCGTTATTCGAAATATTATTTCATAATGGCGGTTATCGTTTCTAGTCAACGATTTAAATTTTTTTTTAAATATTCAAAAAGTGAAAACTTTTTTTTTTAAATTTCAAACGAAGTCATTTTGCATTGACTTTTCTTCTGTGTTCCTCATTTTTTTGTTTTGTATTTGTTGATTTATCTTTCAAATATGTCAGCACTAATATCATCTTCCTATATAAACAACCGGTAAATTTTAAAACTGGAAACGGAATCACACGAAAAAAGAATTCTGCAATATTTTGTTGAGAGACTCTATATTAAATATTTGTTTTCTTCTACATAAATAACAAAAGTTTTATTAAAATCCAATTTGATCAATTTTGGAAGATTTTTTTACGACCAGAAACAAGGCAATGATATTTTATGGACACAGTATTGACGCAAAGTAATTTTATATGTAAAATATAGAAATATTTCAGAATGTTTTCCCATCTTTCTGCTTTAGATTAGTAGAAAAATTGCCCATAAAATACTTGGCGATACCTACTGCACACACACACATATTTAGGACATTTTTTTATGTTTATACATTCTTTTTATAGGTATAAATATTTAAGTAAATGCTCTGTTTATAATAAACAGTATTAAACAACATTTACCGGCCTGAATGTCTGAGAAATTTTCATAGAAAATATGCATCCTCCGACAAGAATTGAACCTATATCCTATACGGAACCGTCATATAGCCTGACGTGCTTTTACCGATTGGGCCACAGAGGAGTGTTTCGAGTAGCAAGGTCGATTTTACTGTTTTTAAACTACAATTCTCCATGATTTTCTCCTCTGTGGCCCAAACGGCTAAGGCACCTCAGGCTATATGACGGTTCCGTATAGGATACAGGTTCGATTCCTGTCGGAGGACGCATATTTTCTATGAAAAATTCTCGGACATTCAGGTAAAAAAATAAGCGCATGTTCTTAGTAAACATCATCAATTAGGTTTTTTCATTGATTTGAATTCTTAAGCGTTTCTAATTCTTTTGCACTGTTTTACTCAAATTAAACGAGTGACCAAAACTAGCAACAGCTATTCGAAATATTTCCATGAAATAAATCATTCGTTGGAACTACAAGTTTTTTTCTTTTAATTATGCAACTACCAACGAAGACAAGCATCCTAATTTTTAATCTTAACCTGTTCAAGTCTAGAGCTAACCGTACTATTTCATACATTTTCGCATAAGCTGTGTCTCTTTCTCTGTAACCCTCTAGCTCGAGTGACTTTCGGGCCTTGTACATCATCGTAAAAAACAGCCCTTTTAGCGCGGATTTGAACTGGGTTTTTTTTGGATTTTTTTTTTGTAAAATATGTACCTGGCTACAAATACATTTGTACGCATGCGTGCCAAAATATTCGTATTCATACGCCATCCTACTCGCAAATAGTTCCCGAGTGATTGATTTGGTTCTATCTTGGATTTGGACGATGTTCAACTGTCTGCATGTTTTTGCTTAACATAGCACGAGTGAAGACGAATGGACCTTGCTTCTTCCTAAATATGGAAGCCACAGCATTACGAGTGACGTCACTGCTTGTTTCGCTTTGATTGGTTGAGTTGTGCATGTTGTTTCTCTCGTGCAATGTTTATTTGCGTCTGGTTTTGGCACTGATTCGAAATTAGAAAGAAAGAAAGAAAGAAAGAAAGAAAGAAAGAATGTCGGTAAAAGAAACAAAGAATGTTGATAAAAGAAAGAAAGAAAGAAAGAAAGTATGTCGGTAGAAGAAAAGAAAGTATGACGGTAAAAAGAAAGAAAGAAAGAAAGAAAGAAAAAGTAAAATAGAAAACGGAAGTATGAAATACGAATGAAAGAAACAGGAAATAATATATAATATAAAAGCATATATATATATATATATATATATATATATATATATGTGTGTGTGTGTGTGTGTGTGTGTGTGTGTGTGTGTGTGTGTGTGTGAATATATAGATAATGATAATATTAGTGGTTAACACACACAGATATATATATATATATATATATATATATATATATATATATAATTATTTTTAAAAAAAAAATTATAACATAAGTATGTTATAAGATCACTACAAAAATAGCCATTTTGTTTCAACACATTCTGTGTCTTCTCAAGTGATGATGTTGAAAATAAAATAAATGGTTTTAAAAAGTTTCAGATTAATTAACGATCCTACACTAGGGGGAGCATTGTTACAAAAGCTAGAATAACCAATCAAAAACGAAGTATAGAAAGATTCAAAAGCTTGACAACGAAATCCTGCTATAATAGCTATTCAGATCTTTAAATACGTGTAATATTAAAAATAATTTATACTAACTAATAATTATAAAATCATATGATAAAATTTAATATTAAAATTAAAAATTGGTAATTTTAAAATCCAAATTTAATCAC